GGCCACAGCAGACCCAACCCACAACCAGGGTCCATGGAACCCCCACTAACCACCAGGCCAAGGTAAGGGGACAACATTTTTAAAACAAAACCCGGTGACATTTTATCCCCGGGAACATAAAATAAATCTTTTTTTTTTTCTTTTTAATACCTGTGCGACGGACCCCCGTACTCAGGATGAGTATGTCCGCCGCTGTCTTCTTCCTTGCTGAGGAGATATTGGAACCCGCTGATCTGTAGCTCCCAGTTTCCCCAGTCACTAGCCAAGGCTTGAGTGTAGGGTAAACAAACTCTCCTTTATTGAGCAACTGCACAAACTTATATACAGCAAGTGATGAAATCAGAATATAATCCCATCACATCCCCCCTCCCCTCCCAGACCATCGGTCTGCTCAACACCACAGGTGTCCACCTGCTAACGAACTCCAGACAGCCATAGCAGGAGCCTGGCCAGAATGTCATTGTTCTGAGCTCCCTCAGAGAACAATGGGAGATAACGAAGGATGGTGCTGATAGTCTTTCCATAACCAGGTCACACAGCATAACGCACTCAAACACAACTCAACACCAATACACATTTAACTTATAAACTGATCACTGTGTCGTCACAACCTGATCCCCTTATCCACCAAAAGTGCGGCCTCCCGTCTCCCACGCTGTCAGAAGCTGCATACAGCGTAGTGCTGGTTACTACTTAAACAGGCGCGCTGTGTGCAGCTTCTGGAAAGATTCGCTATTACCGTAGCGTGAGCGATGCAAAATGCGCAGCCGCCTTTCCCGCTATGCTAATAGTGTATCTTCTCAGAAGCTGCATACATCGCGCGCCGGTTTAAGTAGTAACCAGCACACGCTGTATGCATATTCTGACAGCGTGGGAGACGCGAGGCTGCGTTTGTCGGTGGATCCCGGCATCAGGTGAGTATTAAAAAAAAATGGTTTATTTTAGAGCTGCAACCATTATTCGATTAAGTCGATTAAAATCGACGATGGAAAACGTTGTCAACGTTTTCCATCGCCTATTCGTCGGCTAAAATGTAAATTTCCCGCTCACCGCCGCTCACACCACGCCCACGCCGGTAAACCCGCTCACGCTGAGGACATGCATCTGGCCCTCTCCTCCCGGTGAGCTTCCCGACTCGCTGCTGACCGCTGACAATCAAGGTAAGTCACTCGAGATCCCTTTTTAATGTTTCCTTTTTTTTTTTTTTTTTAAAGCAGCACACTGTAGAACATTAGCAGCTATAGAGGAACAACAAATCCCAGCAATAATACATTATACAGGATGTTTAATGTATTATTGCTGGGATTTGGTGTTCCTCTATAACTGGTCAGTGGTATTCTGCATTGCGCCGTATAATCATTATACAGCACACTGCCGAACTCCACCAGCTATAGAGGACTACAAATCCCAGCAATAGTACATTATAGTATAATGTACTATTGCTGCGATTTGCTGTATTCCTCTATAGCTGGCGTTATTCTGCATTGCGCTGTATAATGTACTATATTGCACACCAATTTTTTTTTTTTTTACTTCCACCGCTCCAAACTTGCTCCCGTGATGGACTACAATCTCAATACAAGCTAGTAGTCCATCACTGGAGCCATTTTAAAAAAGAAAATCTGATTAATCGATTAATCAAGCTTAATAATCGGCTAACTAATCGATTTTGAAAATAGTTAGCTGCAGCCCTAGTTTATATTATGATCCCGGAGACATAATTTGTCAGGAGATGGTCTCCTCAATCCGGGAACTGTCACCAGAAAATCGGGGATGAATGTAGAGCTGCAACAACTAAATCGACTAAGTCGATTATAATCGATGATTGAAAAAGTCTTCAACATTTTCAATCATTGATTAATCAGCTTTTATTTAGTTGGCCCTGGTCACGGCTCCACACACGCCGCACCTCCTCCCCACCTCATGCTTGCCGCTGCTAGACCCGCACGCTCCACACGCCGCACCTCC